AATAAGGGAACCCATGGCTGATATGTAGAACTGAATGGTATTGTAAAATAAAAAATATATATCACAAAAAAAAAAAAAAGAAATCTGGTTTTTTTTTTTCCTTCCCCCTCCCCCTTCTCTCTTTCTCTTGTTTTTGGTTTGTTTGTTTGTTTGAGACAGGGTTTCCTCTGTGTATCCCTGACTGTCCTGGAACTAGCTCTGTAGACCAGGCTGCCTCAAATTCATGCAGATCCACCTGCCTCTGCCTCCCAAGTGCTGGGATTAAAGGCATGCGCTGCCACCACCACTGGCTGAAACTTGTTTGTTTTCTAATGAGAGACAGATAGTGAGTGGATCCACATGGGAGGGAGCTGGGGGGAGTAGAGGGAGGGGAAACCATACCAGGATATATTATGTGAGAAAAATTATTTTCAATAAGAGGAGGGGGAAGAAGGTAGACTCTTGCTGTTGTACACACTCATGTACCTCTTGCCTCATCCTCCAAAGTAGCTTGGGTTACACACATGCACCTGTATGCACAGTTGACTGTTTTGTGGGGGAGATGCACTTGGCTGTGCATGTTTTTGTTTAGGCTGCTGATGGAAGTAGCAAGAAGAGACTGGAATGGGGAGAGAGTATGGTAAGGTAACCGATGGGGCACAGCATCACATCTTACTTGGGACCTCAGCTCAGTGAGGGTTCTAGGAGAACCTCCTCCTGGCACTCACTATTTTTCAAGGCCTCACCCACACTGATGATGCCGACTCAGCTTAACCAATACAGTGGAGCCAAGGGATACCAGGCTGATTCTGGGTCTTAAAAGGTATGTTTCAGCTGGGCGGTGGTGGCACACGCCTTTAATCCCAGCACTCAGGAGGCAGAGGCAGGTGGATCTCTGTGAGTTCGAGGCCAACCTGGTCTACAGAGTAAGATCCAGGACAGGCACCAAAACCACACAGAGAAACCCTGTTTCAAAAGACCAAAACAAAACAAAACAAAAACAAACAAATAAACAAAAAGGTATGTTTCTGTGCTTTGAGGGAACCAAACCTGATCTACCCTGCAAGAGGTGTAGCTACCCTGAGAGAGAGACCATGTGGATAGAGACTATTATTCAGTCATAAAGGGGAGAGAAAGAAAAGGGAGAGTAGAGGGAGGAGAAGGAGAAGGACAGAAGAGAGGGATGTGAGCGTGAGCACACACTCCATCAACCCCAACAGTCCTGACCAAGGTGTCAGGCGCACGAGCAAAGCCATTATGGGTGAGAGATCTCCAATGGGGACATGAAGGAGAACCATTCCGTTGATCTCTAGACACCCCTAACCCGTGGGTAATAATGCAGCAGCCATTCACTAATCATCTGCCCCACTCCCAGCAACCCTCTGTTCTTGCTGATGTCACCTTCTCTTATCCCTGTCACTGATCGCTTTCGTCCCTGACCTGGGGCTCTCTTTCCCCAGCAGACTTCACTGTTGGTCTTGGTGACTTCAGAATCTACACGGATGACGTTAGGACTCGGTTGCTCCTCTCGTTCCGCCCTTCCTGTGCTGTCTGCCCTAGACCCTCTCTGGATCTGGGGACATCAGCTTGCTGTACCATGCCCCCCTCTTCAGCACCCTTCCCTCTTGTTATTTTGCTCTCTGACTCTGACCCTTGCACCCCAGCAATTCTGCACATTATGGAGCTTCCCATTGTCTTGACCCTGCATCTACCTCGGTTTGTCATTCTGAGGCCGGCTGTGGTAGCACACGCCTTTAATCCCAGTGCTTGGGAGGCAGAGGCAGGTGAATTTCTGTGAGTTCAAGGCCAGCCTGGTCTACAGATCCAGTTTCAGGACAGTCAGGGCTATATAGAGAGACCTTGTCTCAAAAGAAACAAACAAACAAACAAAACAAAAAACAAAAAACCAACCAGCCAATCAATCAGACAATAATTGTCATTCTGTGGAGGGGGGTGTATATATGCGAGCATGTTTGTGTGGTTGTGTGCATGTATGTGTATGTGTATAGAAGACAAAAGTTGACATCAAGTATTTTCCATAATCATTCTCTACCTTGGGTTTTGAGATAGAGTCTATCACTGAACCTGGAGCTCACTCACTAATTAAATAGGCGACCCTGAGCCCGAGGGCTCCACCATAGTACCTTCCCAGCATTGGGTGTACCACCACTCCTGGCTTTCTGGGTGGGTGTTGGGGATCCACACTCAGGCCCTCCTGCTTTTTAGGCAGCACTTTATAGGCCGAGCCATCTCCTCGGTCTCTTTCATTTTTGTTGCCTTTGACTATCTAGTCCCAATATCAACTGTTAGAAAGACTCGTCCCACTGCATAACCTTTGTATACTTAGCAAAATCACCGGCCATGAACGTGAAGCTTTAGTTCTTGGCAATCAATTCTGTTCTGTTGATGTTTATTCTTAGATGAGTCCCACACTGCCTTGGTTACTATAGTTTGTAGTACAATTTGAAATCAGGAAGTTATGTCTTCCAAGTCTGTTCTTGTTCATGTTTTCTTGCAAATTTTAGGATCAACTTGTTAATTTCAACAATAAGACCAGAAAAAGTAACTAGGAATTATTGTCATCCAAACAATAAATTTTCCAACATGGATAATTGTTCATCTGTTTGGGGTTTTTTGTTTGTTTTTCATTCTTCTCTTTTTCCTTCCTTCCTTCCTTCCTTCCTTCCTTCCTTCCTTCCTTCCTTCCTTCCTTCCTTCCTTCCTTCCTTCCTTCCTTCCTTCCTTCCTTCCTTCCTCCCTTCCTTCCTTCCTCCCTCCCTCCCTCCCTCCCTCCCTCCCTCTCTCTCTCTCTCCCCCTTCTTTCTCTCTTTCTTTCTTATGTAGCTCTGGCTGGTCTGGAATTTGCTGTGTAGATAAGGCTGGCCTTGAACTCAGAGATTTCCCCCTCAACACCCCCCCAACACCCCCGCTCGCCTCCCAAAAGCTAGGAATAAAGGAATCCATCACCAAACATAGCTTCGGGTCTTTAATTTTTATGAAAAACATTTGTAGTTTTCGGTGTACGGCTCCTTACCTCTGTGGACTGCCATCCTAAACCTCGCATCCTTACTGAAGCTGTCGTCACCAGAATCCTCCCCTTTCTCCCAGTCTCACAGCCTCACTGGAGAAATGCCATTGAACTTGACCCTTGACCCAGAACTCTCCTGAATCTGCTCACTGCTTCCCGTAGCTGTCAGTCTCTTACCATTTTCTGTACTCGGGCTCGAGTCCTCCGGGTCGTCCAGGTGCCCTGTGTCTCTTATCGCTGTCTCATCACCGGGGCTGGATCCTCCAGTGACACGCTGCGTGTAACTGGTATGGGCAGACGGAGGGGCTCGGCTCCTGTTCTCCAGTGCGGTGTAACCAGCTTTTTCACGGATCACCTCTCTCCAGTTGAGGACATTCCCTTCCATTTCCGGTTTGCCGAGTGTTTGTGTGAAAGGCTTTCAGAGTTGCCAAGTGCCTTTTCTTGCTGTGATGATCTGGTGGGGTTTGTCCTTTATCCTATTACTGTGGTGTATCATAATTGATTTTTGGATGCTAAGCCAAATTTCCGTCCCCGGGATAAGAATCCTTGTGGATTCCAGGACAAATCCACTTGGTCACGGTGTGAATGCCTCCCTATGGGTTTCTGGACGGTCTGCTTGCATTTTGCTGAGGCATTCAGAAGAGACGTGGAGTGGTAGTTTTCTTGCGTTGCCTTTGTCTGGTTTTGGTTTCAGAGTGACACCGGTCTTGTGGAATGAGCTGGCAGCCCTGTCCTGACGCATGTTTAACTGCTCAAGTCTAAGTGACAACTCAGGGGCATTAAATACGTTCGTGGTGTCAGGCTACCCGCACCACTATTCATTTCCAGAACTTTCTAGCAGAAATCATTACTCATTAGACAATAGCTCACAGCTCCTCTTTTCCTGGGGCCTTGGAAGCCTCCAGTATAGTTTCTGGCCTTTTTTTAAAAAAATTATTTATTTTTATTTTATGTGCTTTGGTGTTTTGTTATGGGTGTTGGGTCCCCTAGAACTGGAATTACAGACAGTTGTGAGCTGCCATGTGGGTGCTGGGAATTAAACCCGGGTCCCCTGGAAGAGCAGTCAGTGCTCCTAACCACTGAGCCATCTCTCCAACCCTCTAGTTTCTGACTTTTATGAATCTTTGCACTGCCTTTCTATGTATATCTACACAGTTTTTACCCTCATATGTGTGTGCAAGCTTGCATGTATGTGTTTGTATGTGTTATATGCACATGTGTACATGTGGTCAGAAGTCAACATTAAGTGTCTTATTCTGCCACTCTTCACCTTATTTTAAAACAAAGCATTCCCAGGTGACTGGAAGCTTGCCTTTTTGGTTAGACTGAGTAGCCAGCAAGCATCCGGAATCCCCCTGCCTCTGTCTTCCCTCCCATAGTTCCTCATTGTACTGTAATTACTTGTTAGCTAAAGCTCTTGCCATCCTATCCCAAGCTTCAGTCAGCAAGGTCTGACCTCTATTCTTCTGACTGTCTAGCCTGCTCTCCATCCTTCAGCCCCACCCCCACCCCACCCCTGCACACACACACAGGCGCTGACTCCACGTCTTGTTCATGGTAGAGGCTCAGTGCATACTGAATCCCTGATGGAGAAGACTGGCATCTCTCCCCAAGTGACCCCGTGTGACCCCGTGGCTCAAACTGATCGTGAAGGACTTGCTGAGCACCGGAAGGCAAAACAGTAAGTTTCGGGAGAGTCCAAGTAGATCAGCGTAGAACCAGACATCCAAGACAGTTCCATCACCTCTCTCACACTCGGAGAGCCATTGAAGGGTTCCAGAGTCCCGTGTCCTGAGGTTGTCCCAAGGGGAACTCTCCACCCTCTGGTTCCTCTTTATCCCACCATCTCCTTCTGATCTCAAACTCACCACACACAGTTTCCCACTCACTGGACAGGAAGTGTATGTCTCTCAAAGCACGAAAGATGCTTAAGTAAGTATTGAAAAGGAGTTCAGAGCCCAGCAGTGGTAATGCATGCCTTTAATCCCAGTACCTGAGAGGCAGAGGCAAGTGGATCTCTGAGTTGGAAGCCAGCCTGGTCTACAGAGGGGGTTCTAGAACAGCCAGGGCTACACAGAAAAAAACCCTGTCTCAAAAAACAAAACAAAACAAAACAAAACAGACAAAAAAAACCCCCAAAAAAAACCCAAAAACAAAAAAAGAAAAAAATCAGTTTTGGACTTGGTTGGGGTGGCTGTGGCTTTCACCCTGAAGTTTATATTCTGACCAAGAATATTGTTTAGGTTTGGAGAAATGCCTTGGTGGATAAAGGTGCTTGCAGCCAAGCCTGATCTCTCTCTCTGTGTTTCTGTCTCTCTCTCTCTCTCTCTCTCTCTCTCTCTCTCTCTCTCTCTCTGTCTCTGTCTGTCTGTCTCTCTCAACAAACATAAAATTTTTAAAGAGAAGTTTAAATGACAAGTTAAATATCTGTATGCATTTAGCAATGACAGAAGGAAGCAGTCCGAGGTTGGACCTGGACAGGACAGGGTGTCCCCCTGTCTCACATCTTGTGGCCAAACTGGCAACTCTGTAACTCAGGAGGCTGATCCTTCCCTATCCTGTGACCAGAGTGTCTTACTGGCACCAGGCCTGAGAGGACAGCAGACTGACTCCCCCTCAAGTCCAGCCACCAGACCCGTCACCCTGGGGTGGGAGGCCACTTGGAATAATCTCTACCTCTCACTCCCAGACCAATTTCTTCCTGTTCCTTATTGCTTGATGAATCTGCATACTAATTAATAGCTGTTACTTCTCTCCCGGCAGCTTAACCTGCTGAGGAAAATTATGACAGAGTTAAAAATGAGCGATTGCCAAGATAGACTAATTACATCTCCAGGGACGAGCCTGGGATACTTCAGTCTGTCTTTTCCCTCCTCATCACCTTCCCCCAGAGAGTAAGTTGGCTCTAATCACTTCTGAGGAAAGCAAGGTGTGTTGCCAGTTCAGTTCCCCGGGGCTGGTAGGGGGTAAAAGCCTCGAGGAAGGGGCTTGTCAGTGGAGTGCCTGACGGCCTTTGAAGGGGAAGGGGCCAAGGCTTCATTGTTCTCTTCCTTCTATGACACACCGTCCCAGCACCGGCCTGAGGGTACTGGGGTGGAAGCAGACCATGCCGTCAAAGCTTGGCCAGCCCCCACTGTTCTGGGATCTGTGGACTGCCAGTGGGTACATTTTAACACCGTTCACAGTGAAGGAATCCTAAGTGACAGTCTCCACGAGAGACTGATAAAGGGGCTGCCGGGAGACTGGCTGGTGGCAGCCTCCTCCGTTGGCATCTTTAGAGATTCTCAGCAAGGCAGTGCCCTCCCAGGGCAGCCGGCTCTGTAGTAGGACGTGAAGAACTGTAGATCAGGGTGGCGGGAAAACTTAGCCGTTGAATGATGCAGTCATCGAATTTTAGAGATCTTTATGGTGGAAAAAAAGCTTTAAAAATTTATTAAAATCCATGCCCGGTGGTGGTGGCGCACACCTTTAATCCCAGCACTTGGGAGGCAGAGGCAGGCAGATCTCTGAGTTTGAGGCCAGCCTGGTCTACAGTGAGAGATTCGGGAAAGCCAGGGCTGTGAAGAGAAACCCTCTCTCTTTTTGTTGTTGTTAAAACAACATAGCTCAGATTCATAAGAGGCCTTCAGATAAAACTAAGAAGGGTGGGTGTATGTGTGTATATATTTGTATGTATAAATGTGTCTTGTATGTATATGTATGCATGTACATGTGTATATGTTTGTGTGTGTCTGTGTGTAGGCATGTGTATATGTGTGTCTGGGTACATGTGCCTGGGTGTATATATGCATCTGTGTATGTTTGTGTCTCTGTGTTTATGTGTGTAGGCACATGTATGTGTCTGTGAATGTGAATGTGTGTGTGCATATGAGTGTATATATATATGGGGGAGTGTTATGGTGTGTGTTGCTATGGTGTGTGTGTGTGTGTGTGTGTGTGTGTGTGTGTGTGTGTGTGTTATTATGGTGTGGATGTGCCCCCAAATTTGTGTACTGGCAGCTAGAGCCCCAATGCAATGGTGTTGGGAGGTATAACTGGGAAGAGATTGGTAAGGAGAGCATATCCCCTATGACGGCAAGGATGTAATTCTTGTATGCAGAGCATGGCCTCTAAAGCAGAAGCTGCTCCCATGTCTTCATCTTAGCCCAGGGTTGCAAACCTCTTCTCTACAAACTACACAGTGTTACAGAAGATGGCCTGAGAAGTCAAGTTGAATGCCAGCCGACAGTCACGGTGTCAGCACACCTAGCCTCAGTGGGGAGAGAAACAGGAAGTTAGGGGGACCCTTTCCTTACAGGTCCCTGACTGAACTGTGAAGGGCACAGGCTGCCTATAACCAGAGTGTCTGTATTATTCCCATGGGAACTGTTTTAGGTGAAATCCAGACTTTAAAGTATTGACTCAAACATTCAGTCCCATGTGGAGCCTGGGATTGCAAGCCAAAAGCCTCTGCTTATGGCTCCCCATGTTTCAGGCGGAAAGGGAGGTCTGAAGGGCTTGCCAATGGTCAGCCAGGATGAGCCCAGGGCTCAGGGTCTGGTGACAGCCCCAGGATGGCCTCCTCTCCATCTCTCTGCTCAGTTCTCACCTGCTGGCTTCATCCTCCAACAAGCTCTCTCTAGGTAGCCACAAAAATAGCAGCCCCCACATCCCATAATCCTTAGCGCCACCCCTTTCAGGCCCTTTGCGCCTGCTTTAGCTTAGCTGCTCCTGAGCCCACCTAGACCCGGGAGACCTAGGGACATCCAAGCAGAATCGCACAGAGTGGGAGACAAGTGGCCGTGACCAATGGAAAGAGAAGAGGCCTGGGCAGGGAGGAAACGGAAGGTGTGGATTTCGGAGGCTGGGCCAGCCTTTGCTTGCAGGCAAGGATTTATGAGATTCAGGGTCAACAAGTGGCTTTAGCCCCCACGCATGGGACAGGAACCCAAGGACTCTCTGATCCTCTGATCTGTGCCCTTTCTCCCATACATTTTTGTGTATGCATGTTTGTGCATGGGGTGCAAGTATGTGTGAGGGTTCACGTGCGTGTGTGGAAGTCCATGCGGAGGTCAGAAAACAGCCTCATGTGGTCTTTTGCTGACAGTGGACGGCGTCTTGCTGACAAGGAATTCACCAAGTAGGTGAGGTTGGCTGGCCACAGAGTCCCAGGGATGTGCCTGACTCCACCTCCCCACACTGGGATAAAAAAACCACTACACCTGACTTTTTTTTTTTTAAAGGTCGTTTTCTTCTACTTCTTCCACATTGAGGTATTCATCAGGTCTTGCTGTTGTAGAACCACTGGTTTCTGGTGGTGTCATATTGCTCTTTATGTTGTTGAGTGTGTTCTTACACTGTGGCCTACCCATCTCTTCCTCCAATCAGTGCAGGTAGGGTCTGTGCCTTAGGTGATTGTTGATGCGTCTGGGGGATGTTTGGGGGTATGGGGAGGGTGCTGCCGGGTCTCTGGGGCTTTGGTGGGAGAAGGAGAGGTGCAAGATGTGTCCCTGGGGGTTAGGGCCTAGTGAGCAGGGCTCTCCAGTTGGGAGCCCATACACTCACCTCCTCGTGCAGGTATGGGCAGTTCCTGTGGTAGCTCACATGGCAGGGGATGGTTGGGGGGGCTGGGGAGAGGCTGCTGCATGGGATGTGCCCCTGGAATCTAGAGAGCAGAGCTGTTCAGCCTGGCGGCTGCCTCCTCCTCCTCCTCCTCCTCCTCCTCCTCCTCCTCCTTTTTCCTCTTCCTCTTCTTCCTCTTCCTCTTCTTCCTCTTCCTCTTCTTTCCTCTTCCTCTTCTTTCCTCCTCTTCCTCTTCTTCTCTTCTTTCTTCTTCTTCTTTTTTTTTTTTTTAAACAAATTCCTAGGATAAAACTCACGTTTGTAAGGCAAGCATTGTACTGACTGGACTCTTTCCCTCCCCGCTCCCCCTGATACTCCCACCCCTGCACTTTTTAATAAAATGCCTGGGGTTTGGTGCTTGCAGCCAAGACTGATGACCTGAGTTTGATTCTTGGGACCCACATGGTGGACGGGAGAGAACCAACTACTAGAAATTATCACTAAATAAATATATTTTTTTAAAAAAGATAAAAACCCTGGACTCTATTATGTCCCTGTGTAGCCCCAGCTGTCCTAGATCTCACTCTGTAAACCAGGCTGGTCTCAAACTCATAGAGCTCCTCCTGCCTCTGCCTCCGGAGTGCTGGGATTAAAGGCATGCACCACCATGCTCATCACATGTCTCTATCTTGATATGAGTAGCTTACAACGTGCCTGGACCTGAGTCTTCTTACTGGAAGAGGAGGTTGGTGCAGCCTCAGAATTTGCTCCTTAAGATCTGGTGGGTTTTTTTGTTTGTTTGTTTGTTTGTTTATTCACATGCATGTGTGTTTTGTTTGTTTTTTTGTTTTTGCATGCTCATTGCAGAAAACCCGAGAAATGCAAAAAATAAATAAATAAATACAAATTAGGAGAGTCTCTTCTGATGGTCTTTAGCGGGGGGTGGGGGGGTGGGGGGGTGGAGGGGGGTGGACCCTGCCTCTCACCAGTCACTGGTGTCCTTCATCCTTCATACCTGGCTTGGCTCACACCGTCTGCATAGCTTTATAACTGCCTGGGCCGATGTCCCAGTGATCATGATTGGGAAACTGGTGAGGGGCCCCACTAAAGTGCCTGAATCAAGACAGACCAAGCTAGGCTCTGGAGCTGGGGGCAGCTTTGTGCTGATGGCCCTGGGGACTCCCACACAGGGGATAGGGAGGTGACAGGGCAAGGAGCCAGGTGGACCCTAAAATACTGTCCAACAGTCTGCCCACTGTAACCCCAAGCACTGTTCTAGAAGACCATAACCCTATGGCAGCACAAATAAGATTGAGGGCCAAGCCTGGCTCCGCTAATGCACTGCTTTATTGGCCGCATCAGTGCGTATAGTGCGTATGATCCAGTAGGAGAGGCAGGGTGCACGCCTCCCGGTCTGGCCACCCTTTTGTGTCTCGTTTTCTGAGTTGTCACAGAATGAGGAAAGATGGTGTCTGAATCCCACGTCTCTCAGACAGAAATTGGTGGCTCTGCTATGTATTCAGCCTAGTTTGAAAAGCGCTCAGGATTTAGTTCATGGGGCAGAGTGGTCCATCTACAATCAAGTAAATCCATGCTCAGAGAAGTTTATAACACACACACGGTGACCGAAATGATCCTTGCCGATATCACCATTGGTAGTGAAAATCACACATACCACTTTGTAAAGAAAATCATCTTCTTCACCCCGTAGCTCATAATGGCTCTCCAGAATCATTAAGACCTCAACAGTCTGTTCGGGGCTTGGGAAGGGAGGGAGTGGAAGTGAGAAGGGGAGGGCTCAGCCTTGCACAAAACCCAGCAGGATGAAAATTGGCAGGCAGTTTACTGGAACTCCAGCCCTTAACCACTTCTGCACTTAATGGGCTTTGTAAATATCACCGAGTCCTCTTCCACATCTCCGCCGACAGCCTTCTGTGCAGCTGGCGTCCAGACCCCACTCTCAGCATATCTTTGTAATGCCCTGAGGAACAGCAGGCCGGGTCAGTGTGCACTGCACTGTGAATGCCATCCAGCACCCAGCCAGAGGTTGCCTCGACAGTGCTGCTTGGTGAACGATACTTCTCTCTGTCCTTCTTCCTTACCGGTGACAGCGGCAACTGTGGTCAGTGACAACTTTGTGGTCAATAGTGATGACAGCCAACGTGTGCTGGGCACAGGCTGTGGGTCTTGAACCACCTGCCACGAAACCCCTTCTAAATCCTTCGTGTTGACCAGTGTAGTTCAACGGCGTGCCAAGGGAAGCCAGCTAATGTCAGCTCCATTCTGCAAATGAGCAAACAGAGGCAGGAGATGTTTAATGACCCACCCTGTCCAAGAGCCTAGTCAGAAGCAGAACAAGTGTCTAGGCCCAGATCACAGGCCTTGGGAGTCCAGCCACTTACCCAGCAGACCAGGGGACTGACTCTTCAGGCAACTGGCTTTGAACTTGTATCCCCACTGGGAATCTCAGCTCCCAATTCTATGGGTAACTTTCCCATGTCTCGAAGCTAAGAGTCACCCCTTATCCCCCCCCCCCCCCCCGCACATTTAGAGTAAGTGCTCAGTTCACACTGGACACCTGGCACTGACCCCACCAAGCAGGTTGCAAAATGGTTTTATTTCACAGTGACAAGCCCTTCCTTGGTTCTCATCTGCTTTATGGGAACATTGTGGCCTCATCCAAGACTCTGGTGGAAATATATGCCAGAAATATAGAGCTACCTGGTCAGGAGGAATATTTCCAAGGCAGGAGGATGTCTAGATGGGTGTGTTGAAGGTCAGACTGGGAGCTTTGGACTAGGAAGTTGCAAGGGCTGGTCTCCCCACCCCACCCCACACCCGCTGCCACCCCCCTCCCCAGCCTGGAGTGGGAGCTGAGGGGCCAGCAGGACTAAGGCAGAGCCTGGTCTTGGGTTGCCTGGCTGGGGCTATGTGCCAGATTTCTTGAAGGACACCAGAAACTTGGTTCAGGTAGATGGGCTTGGACCAGGGTCCAGGCTAGCCCAGTTGGAGGTGCTGTTTGGCTAATTTTAATAGGTGTGGTCTAGCTGGAGGAAGGATAGGAAGGATCTCACTGAGGGTGGGCTTTGCAGTTTCAAAAGCTACATGCCATTCCCAATTCCCCCCTCTCTCTGTCTCTCTCTCTCTCTCTCTGTCTCTCTCTCTCTCTCTCTCTCTCTCTCTCTCTCTCTCCTTCCTGCTTGCAGTTTACCATGTGAGCCCTCAGCGTCTGCTCCAGCCGCCATGTTTGCTGTTGCCGCCATGCTTTTCCGCCATGATGGACTGGAACCCCTCTCTGGACTCAGAAGCCAAAGGAACCCTCCCGTAAGTGGCCTTGTCATGCTGTTGGATCACAGTGATGGAACATTCACTGATACAGAACATAGGACATCCAACAGGATACAGAGTGCTCTGAAGTGTCTGACCAGGGGCAGGACCCAGGTCACTAATTCCGCATGCCACAGGCCTTAGGGAGGAAGAGATGAGGCCTTGACCTCTGCCTTTAGTTGGGCCGCAGGAGACAGTTCATGTACACGCAGAGCCTGGCACATAGTGGGTTCTTGAACCTTGGTGAGAGGCTCACACTGCTCTGGCATACCCATCCTAGTACAGGGACAGGCAGGAGATTCCTAAGTGAGTAACAGATCTCTTGACCTCAGCACACTGGGCAATTGCCTACCACAGACTAGGGAGTCTAGATGGGCCCATGAACCACCTGTGTCTGAACTCCCCAAGGCCAGTATGAACCCTGAACATACTTCTCGGTTAATCTTGATTGTCAACTTGATTAGCTTGAGAGATGTCTGGGACATTAGACACACCCTAGCATGTTGGGGTGGGGGTTCAAGAGACAGTTGGATCATGGGAGCTCTGGCCTACTGCATGGTTTAATGTACTGATAGAATAAAATTCTGAATAGACTGGAGCTACGGCTCAGCAGTTAACAATGCATACTGATCTTACAGAGGACCTGAGTTCCGTTCCCATGGCAGGTGGCTTATAGCTCCAGGGGACTCCAATGCTATCTCCTGACCTCTATAAGCATGCATCCACACTCACATGCATACAGTGAAAAGTAAAAATAATGCCAGGTGGGGTGATGCATTCCTGTTGGGAATTGTTGCATGTGAGTCCGAGGCCAACCTCTTAGGGTTTCAGGCTACCCTGCGTGAGTGTGGTCACTGTAAGACTCAGATTCTGCCTCAATAAAAAAAGAAATAGAGCCGGGTGGTGGTGG